AATATTTCTTTGTTTTACTCGGCATTTTCCCATACAGGAAAGGAACATCTGTTCCGATGCTTTCGCAGTGCTCCTAATCTGAGAGAGGCTTGGATTATCTCCTGCTAGAAGAGAAGCAACTGGCCACCAGAGCCCTCTTGGCTTCGCTTCTCCTGGAGAAGAGGGCAAGGCTGGTTACACGTTGCTCCGGTCTCAAATGAACACACTGAAGCTATCTGTCTTAGTTGAACCAGGCTGATCATGGCATCTACATATCCTTCATGCTCGCAGGGATATGGCTACATGAAAAGTCTGCATTCAAACTGATTATCAATAGAAAACCGATGCCTTAGCAGGGTTTTCTTTGTCCTCTGGGAGGTGCTTCGATAAGAGGAAAATTCTGGAGTTTGTTGCAGAAAAAAAATGAATCTCCAGCGTGTTTCAGTTTGGGCTGTTGTGGCAAGGTCTAGCAGCCCCTCTCCTCTTTTTTTGGACAAGTTTTAGACTGCATTTCGCACGATGCTTAACTTATCCTCGGACCTGGGAGCTGAAATTGAGCTGGGCAGCCCGGGGTGCAGAGCAGAGCTGTGCGTGGAGGACCTGGGGAGCTCTCTGGCAGTATTTGCCAGTTAAAAGAATTCACTTTTCAGACTTGCAACAAAAAACAAATTTTGCAGTCAAGGATGCCTGATTTCGCCTTTGGTCCCCTGAGAAAATGAAGCATCTGCCATTGCACACTCCCTGGTCTTGCTTTGTAGATGGCTTTTTTTTTTTTTCATAGGGTGCATCCCAACCACATCCAATGAAGGGGAAAAGCTCCGGGAGGAAATCAAATGGTGTCCCATGGAGACTCGGCAGCAGAAGGAAGGGATAGCATGGTGTAAAGAGCAGAGAGAGGTGGGACAGCCAGATTCTGCCTTAACTGAAAGGCACAGAAAGAACAGCTGGGATGGGAGACGTCGTGTCAAGGACGGGGTCCCTGTTGCTCTCCCAGCTGTGGCAGATGTTGCTGTTTGCATCCACAGGTCAAGACAGTGTGAACACTGTGGGGATAAGCCACGGCTGTGCGGAGGTGGGGTGAGGTGGACCCGCTTGCTGGGGTTTGTTGTCGTCTCCAACAGTGGAGGTCCATGTAGAAAGTGCCGAGAAGCTGCAGGAGGTACGGCCGGGCGGGAGAGCTGGGAGCAACTGGGTGGATGCTGAAGCTGGAATTGGGAGCGGGCAGCTCCCTCCTTGGGAAACACATGTTCACCATCACTGCCGCCCATTCCCAGACTGAAACGAAGTTCGAGAAGTACCTGAAGCTTCCTGGCTGGGAATGGTCCAGGTGAGCAATTACTGCCGAGCTGTGCTTGGTGTGCTCGGGGAGCTGAGCCGCGTTGTGGCAGACAGGCAGCACCAGGAATGGCACAGGGAGCGGCGGGGATGCGCCCGTGAGTCCGTCCTGTCCAGAAACATGATGTACAGTAAGGAAAGGTTTAAAACCCCGATTGAAGGGTGCCATTCTTGTGAGGAGCCCAGCCCTAAACTCGCTGCAGCTATCATAGGGGGTTTTATTGCCGGGAGCTGGCAAACGTCTCATTAAGAGCTTGTCAAGAGCAAACTTCTGGGAGAGCTTGCTCTGGTGTGCGGGTAGCATCTGGGAGCCAGCTTGGTGCTTTCCCCACTTTTTTTTGGAAGCGGGGTTACTTCTGTCACCTCCGTCCGCTTGCTTAATTGCAGCCATCTTGATCAAACGGCCCCCAGCCCCCTCTCCCTCTGCAGCTCTGGCTATTCACTAATTGAAATGCCTAATGAGGTCCCAGGGGTCTCCTGCAGAGATGGAGCTAATTAGGGGCTCTGCCACGAACCCGGCAAGCAGCAGCAAATGAAACGAAGGTTTCCTTGAGCCTGCTTTTTTGCGAGGGGCTGGGGGGAGGGCGCACCAGATGTCCTGTTTCCCCGCTCCGCACCGGGGTAAGGCTGGCGCTCCATGGACTCCAGGCTCCTGCCAAAGCAGCTGGTGCAGAGGCAGTGGCTACACTTAATACATTTTAATTAGCATCATTAAATTCTTCCATTTGCTAATTGTTTCTCCTTTTGATCCTTTATCCTGACCAGATTAGCCCTCGGGGGAAAGGGACGGGATGTGGAATACAGACAATTCTGACAAGGTGAGGACTTTATTATCTCCAAGCACGGGGTTGTCACCAGACCTTGGGATACCACGCTAAAACACCCCAGTTGGTGCTAAATTAAAGGCCAGTTTTGTGTGTCCAGCCTGTTCTTGGCCGTCGTGACTATTTTCAGAAAGAGTCATCCCCAAAAAGTGACATCCCACAAGGATTTATGAGAAAAGACAGTACTAGTCTAGGAAACCAAACAAAATCTTGCTTAAGTTTGAATGTAAAGGAGCTGTTTTTCAGGCGATAAAGGACCAGCAGCTGCCATCACGTTGGGAAGCAGCTGCATGGGACCGAAAAAGAATTTCCTCCTTCTGATTTGCAGCAGAGATAATAATCCTCAATCCTCCTTCTTTTCCTCCTACCAGTCCACATCTGCGTAATCGCGCTGAAGCCAGAAGCAACTTCCTTGTTGTCCACGTTGATGGCAGCTTCCCGTTCCTTGGGCTGCGCGGAGAGGGTGCAGCCTCACGGAGGTTAGGTAAGGTCGCTGGTCCTGTTTATCACATTTTAGCCAAGAAAACTGTTGAAGGAAAATGAGCCTGGTGTGAGCCACCAGGCGCTGAGCTGATGTCAGCCTCGTACTTGGTATTTTGGGCAGAATTCTGTTCCCAGATGCATTGTTGTAAATCCAGAGGAACTTGGCCTCCATTCAGTTACTCTTGACTTCCAGGGGTGTGAGTGAAAGCCGAACTGGCAGGGCATGAGAAATAGCCTCGCTTGTCTGTTTTAAATCTCGACAAAAGCATTGGGCCAACTGTTCTTCTGTCTCCTTAGAAAGGCAGGAATGGGCAGAACCGAGCTCTAGGATTATTGGAATGTATTGAATTGAATAGAGGATTGGAAAAAAAAAAAAAAAAAGAAGAAAAATCAACCACATAATCCATCATGCTCTGAGGCCAAGTCAGGATTATTCCCCAATGTATTATCGCTGTGCGGGACTGATTTGGTTTGCATGTTGAGTGATTATGTGATATTTTTCTGTGTTTTAGCATCAAACAGACTGACTGGAGCAGCTAACGAATTTGTGATGTTACTGCGATTCCTTCTGGAGACACGTGAGACTTCGCTGCTTGTCTTTCAGCACTCAGCACTGCAGGATGCCACGTTATGGACGAGACAGGTCTGGTGACACCAAGCCATAGTGGGAAGCACGCATGGTCTGGAGTGGTTAAGCACTAAGGAAGTTCATCCTGGGTGGAGATGAAGGCAAACCTATTGATCTAAAAGGAGAGAAGTGAGATGACAGGGAGGACAGATTGGGATTGTTACTAGTAAGACGAATTACAGAGACTTGATGATATAATTCATGCATCTGGATAACTGATATCAAAGGTCTAGCTGGTTTGGGAAGGACAGGCAGGGAAAAAGCTGGAGATAAAACTTTTTGAAGAATGATGTACCCCCATGCTGACGTCCCTAAACAGAAGAGGCCAGACCTGTGCAGGGTCACTGGGTAGCAGTAATGAACACAAGGAAGACCCAGGAAGCACACTTGGAGCTCTTTGTTTTACCAGGATCCCCAAAAAGCCAAGGCTCAGCAGACACCTGCTGGAAAAGGAATACAGCAGGAGGAAAAACCTCTAGAAAAGTCTTGGGCAGCATGTGGGGACAATTTTTGAACACAGCAGGTGACGTACGGCTGGAAGACACCCACAGATGACATCAGTCACAGCTCAAGGACACCCAGTGCCACAGCCACCCTGACTCGCTGCCGTAGGGTCGCAGTTCATGGGCCTGAGGACATTGGATCCACCCAAGGAGATCAGCTCCGGGCTCCAGACCCCCGGAGCTGTCCAGACCACAGTGGAAGGATGATCGGTGAATTTAGGGATCTTTCTACATTTTATCTGCATCAAGTACAGGTCAGTTTATGTTCCAGACAGAAAAGCAGGAGGTTGAAGATGGGTAGGATTATCAGTAAGATATGATGAAATCTTTATGTTTGTTCTGCTGACCAAGATGGAAGATTGTCTCCAGTTTTGGGCAGTATCCTTCAAGGTGTGGTGTTCCTGGAGAACAAAACCTATAGGAAAAGATGGACATTCGGTCTGGAGAAGAGAGACATAACAGTTCTCAAGAGATAAATTATCTACGGAGGAAAGTCCTCAGTGCCCATGGAGAGCCAAAAGCTGATTTTCTGCTGCTGGTGGGAAGAGCTGCTGAACAGGACATGTCTAGCCTGGCCAAAAAGAAAAATAAAAGGTTATCAGAGCTGTTGGACTGGCCCTGCTCGCTCAAATTGGCCATTGTCCTCAAGAGCGCTTTCGGGAAGCAGTCTTGACCGAAAGGAAGGAAAATTAGCCCCGATTTCTCACCAGTTGCCCCCCACCATGGCCTGTGTCTTCTCCCGTAAGCCAGAGGGGTCAGGACACAGCCCAAACTGAGCCAAATTCAGGGAGAGAAAAGGCCCGGCCCTCAAAGTACAGCTCAGCGACCCCACTTTGGGCTGCTGCTCCCAGAGTCCCCGCACTGGTTTCTCAAGGCCTGGAAACAGACCCCAAAATGGTAGGGATTACCTCAAAACGCTACTTTTACCCCAAAGAAGGAGCCGTTTCACTGAGGCTGCTGTGCCAGCGGCACACGCCACGGGTCGTTAACCCCGGCCTTAATTTCCATAAACCCCATCCAATTTTACTAATGGCTCAATATCCCTAAGGCCCACCCCGATTATCCATAAGCCCCGCCCCAATTCCAGCAGGCCACGCCCCACTCACCGCAAAGCCGCACCGGCAGTTCCACAAGCCACGCCCACACACTGCCTTAAGTCCCGCCCCATCCGCGTCAGACCACGCCCCCTTCCCCCCCCGCTCTCGCCCGCCGCCTCCCAGCTCTCGCGAGATCTCTTCCCGGAAGCCGCGCCTGCCCTGCCGGAAGCGGAAGCGGGTGGGCCGGTGGCGGAGGCTCGGTGGCTCCGGGGGTGCCATGCCGCTGCGGCTGCTCCTGCTGCTCTTGGCGCTTGGCGCCGCCGCCCGATCCGGGGGTGAGGGGCCGGTGGAAGTGTCGGGGGCGAGGGAAGGCGGAGAGAGGGGCCGGGTGGTCGGGCGGAACCGGCGGGGAGGGCCGCGGCCGGGGGGGCTCCGGGCTGGAGTCGCTGAGGGGGAGCGGTTGGGTTGGGTACCCGGCATCGCCGCGGGGTGGGGGAGTCGGGTAGCGAAGGCAGAGCACTCCGGGGTGGGTCTGACACGGGTAGCGAAGGCAGAGCACTCCGGGGTGGGTCTGACACGGGCAGCGAAGGCAGAGCACTCCGGGGTGGGTCTGACACGGGTGCTCGGTCTGCGGGGGCTCCTCTGCCCTGGGGCCCCCCCTGCGTGGGCGGGGAGCCGCGCGGGGACGCCCTGCCGCCGGGTTTGTTACCCCTTTGGTCGCCCGCCCCCGCTCCCATCTCCCTTTCAGGGGAGTTTCCAGCAGCTTTTCACAGCGGTGGGGCTGTGCTGGCCGGGGAGGTGTCTCGGGCAGCGGCACAAGCTGCTCGCACCTGCTGCAAGAGGCTGGTGGTGACTGAATTCTGTGTGTTTGCTGACAGCGGAGCTACAGGAGTCGGAGGAAAAAAAGTCTGGCAAAGCTGGAGCAGGAGTGGGAGCAGGTAATGGCCAGGAACCCCAAGCGGGTGGGCAAATGGATACGTCCAAAAAGGACGAAGAGCAGCACTCTGCATCAAACACAGCCAGGGTAACAAACCTCCAGTTGAGCACGAGTGACAGAGGGTCAGTGGAGAAGGAGCAGGCTGGAACTAGTAGCAGCCCGGAGACACACACTGGTGGTCAGGGCAGCACTGGTGAGAGTGGCAATGCCCACCAAACCAGCCAACAGGGCAGCAGCCCCAGTAACCAGGACAATAGCCAGAGCAGCAACGCCCGTAACCAGGGCACTGACAGTGAGAACAAGGACAACAACCAAGGTGGCGGCGCCGGGAACCAGGATGACAAGCAGCACAACACCCAAGGCAGCAGCGAAAACCAGGGTGGCAACAACCAGAGCCAGGGTAATAACAACAGTCAGACCAACAATGGGAACAGCAGTAACAGTAACCAGGCTGGCAGTGGGAACAGCAGTAACAACGGCCAGAGCACCAGCGGGGACAACAGCAACCAGAACCAGGGCACCAATGAGAAGAACAAGGAAAAGAACGAGGGCAACAACCAAGGTGGAAATGAGGGGAACCAGGATGACAAGCAGCACAATAACCAGGACAGTGGCAACAACCAGAACCAGGGTAATAACAACAGCCAGGGTGACAACAGGGATGACAACAACAAGGGCCAGGGCACCAATGACAAGAACCAGGACAGCAACCAACATGGCAGTGACGGGAGCCAGGATGACAAGCAGCGCAACAACCAGGACAGCAGCAAAAACCAGGGTGGCAACAACCAGAGCCAGGGTAATAACAACAGCCAGGGCGACAATGGGAACAGCAGTAACAACAACCAGGGCAGCAACGGGGATGGCGGCAACAATGGGGACAACAACAACAAGAACCAGGGCAACAACAGGGACAGTAACGCCGAGAACAAGGAGAGCAATGTTGAGAACCAGGGCAAGAACCCAGGCAGTAACAGCAATAACGATGCCAAGAACCAGGGTAATCAAACTTCCTCTGGTACCGAGGGTGACAGCTTTTTAGACAACGAAGAAAGCCCCAGAGAGGAAGAGAATGGGGCCAAAGCAGGCAGCGATGCCTCCTCTAATGAGAGAGAGAAGAGTGTTCCCTCTTCCCCCAGAGACCAGTCGGAGAGCAGCCACTTCTTTGCCTACCTGGTGACCACGGCTATTATTGTTGCTGCCTTGTACATCGCATACCACAACAAACGCAAGGTGAGTGGCTGTGCTCCTTTCCCAGGCTGTCGACATCTCCCCCCTGGTTTAGGAGCTTCTTTTCCTCTCGCTGGGCACCGCTGCAGATTGGGACCTGCTCAGTTGAAGACCTTTCCTCTTGCCTTGACTTTTGTTTCTCACCAATACTTCCCGCTTGGTTTGGTTAATGTTAATTTGAGCCTTGGTCCCGACAGCTTTGGGAGGAGCAGAGAGGGTGTCGTAAGTAGGAAAAGGGGCTGGACCCCTGTGGAAATCGGGTGGCCTCAACTCTGGTGGTTATTTTCAGCTGAGAGAAGTGAAAAGGAAAAGATCTATGAAGTTACCCTGTGTTTTCTCGCTGCCAATGAGTTTTCTATAGCAAGCTGCAGAAGACTTGTCCTTAAATAGTCTTGCAGGGGGGGATGCAGCTCAAATGACACTTGCTGTTTGTTTTTTTTTCCTCCTATAAACCTACTTTTGAGGTAGGAGAAAGAGAATGAAGTTTTCTGCGTGTTAGGCAAACCTCATTATCGCCTGCTTTCAATCCTAGCTGGGTTTATATATTGGCATTTATTATTTTGAGTGCTTTTTCAAATTAAATATGATCACTAGAGGGAGGTAAGTGAAGCTGGTCTTTGGCCCATTAGAAAGCATCTGTGTTTGAAGTGAGAAAAAGCTTATTTGGTCACTACTGTCCCACTCAACTTGTCCCCATTTCTGTCTCCAAAGATCATTGCTTTTGCTCTGGAAGGGAAAAGATCGAAAAGCGGTCGACGGCCCAAATCTGGTGATTATCAGAGACTGGATCAAAAGGTAAGATCTGCCTGAACTGGGAGCTGCCTCAGCCTGGGAGGAGGTTGTGGTACCTGGTGCATATTGTACATGTGTTGTTGCCCTTTCACGTTAGAAATGGTCACAAAGCCTCTACTTGGTATTGGAAAGCAGATTTTTTTTTTTTTTTTAGCAAAAACTCCACATATGGTGTAGAAACAGGGTTTTGCCAGAAAATGGAAGCAATAATGCCGAGAGATGATGGCAGAGCTAATGCAGGGCAGAAGTTTGTGAGTCTTGAACTCAGGTGTGCTTAAGAATAGTTTGTCACTGACTCAAATGCCTTTTTCAAAGAAGTTTATAGCGGGAGAAGGGTTGGATTTGGGAAGGATTCCCTTTCTTTTTCCCCTTGAAACGTTTTTCACCTTCTGTCCTTGAAGTCAGATGTGTCTGTAGTTATTTTCTGCAATGGGAAGATGAGGAGACAAGGGAAGAAAATAAAAAGTCACCCAAAGCTGAAACTTAGTCTTTCAGAATGCTGTCAGTATTTGGGGTCCCACAATGATGGTGATTTTTCAAACGCCATTAGGGATTTTGCATGTAAAACTCAAGGTAGTGTTGTCCAGCTCATTTCCAGCTCTGCAGAGGTGCAGTGTGCTGTTGGGAATGGAAGCTCAGTTCTCTTCCTTCCCAAATTGCAGCCATGCCTGGCTGGGGAAGCCATCTGAGTGCCCCAGAAATAATTTACCTGCTTGAGCTTCCCTATTTAGTCTCACCAATATGTCAAGAATTTGTTTCCCCTACCAGGAATTCCATGACTTCTCCTTGTGGCGCAGTAAAGCAGCCAGGCAATTAGAAATAGCTTGTTTTTTATTTGAAAGCTCATCAGAGACACTGAGCCTGCTCAAACTCGATGCTTTGTCAGAGTAGAAAAAGCAATGCTGAGCTTTCAGATTGTTTAAACCTTTCTTTTTGCCTTTCCAGATCTAGATTCCTTCTTGGATATTCAGTGGAATAATGACGGCCTGTGATAAAAATGCAGGAACACTGGGACACCCACCGACTCCCCTGCTGTAGCGCTCTGAGTTGTAGCTGTGCTGCCATGTTCAGGTTTCAGACAATAGAAAGAAAGGGAAATGCTTTTAGTTTTGCACCTGCACTTGGTAACGTTAAACCTCTCACTTCCTCAAAATGCATTTCTCCTTTCCCAGCTGCCTGAAGATGAACTCGTGTTCCGCTTGGGCATCTGGCTTCTGGCCTGTGACCCAGGAAAAACCAGTCTCCAGCACTTGACAGAACTTTTGTGTCCAAATGAAATGGAATTTGCCATCTACTGTACTGACGTCTCCTCTTGAGGGGGGGGGGGGCGGGGAAAGAAAATCTGCCTGCAAAATGAGCCATCTGACTCTTCCCCTTCCAGAGTCATAGAGCTGCCTTTGTAACCAGCACAGTCTTTGCTTGAGATACAGACATTCTCCTCTTCTGTCCATTGTATTTGGATGCTAAAGTTCGGAGCATGACTGATTGCACTAGTTTGGAAATAATCTGCCAAGGACTCTGATTTGATTTGATTATTTTCTCTTTGTGATGAAGACAATGTTAGAGTTTATCACCTAGATTCTCTCTTTCGTGCACATCTTTGGAAATGCTGGAGCGGTCTTTGGCCCGTGGGTTGTAGCTGAAAAATCCTCACCTGCATCTTGTGTTCCACACGGGTCTTTTCCCTCACAGACCCCAGAGTTCTGATGTTTGCACTAAAGGTGACAGTTGTGGTTTGATGCTGTGAAGGAGGGTAGGTTAGGCTTAGAAAGCTATGTGCCAAATTGCTGTGGTGTGGTTGTAGCAGACTCCACCTTGGAAGATTGCTTTCCTCCCCCTTGTAAAATGTAGATACGTGGTAATGTAAAATGTATGGTAATCCTGAAGCGGTTGGGATGAATGAAACTTGCAGTCCTTCAAACCTCTCCTTCAGAAATGCAGTATTGAGGCCCTGGAGTGTTCAGCTCTGCTGAATGAGCCTCTCTGGGTTGTCCTGCCCCGACTGCGCGCGCGGCGTTGGCTCTGGCTGGAGAAGTGGCCGCATTCCCGCGCGGCTCAGAGGCGAGGGGGCTGCTCGCCCTTGAGTTGCAAAAGCTTTGGCAGCCTCTGGCTTTGGGAAACGGCTGTAGCCCGTGGCACAGGCACCGTCCTTTCTGCCTGTGAGTCACCGCAGGGCGTCTTCTCCCCGGGGTCACATCCTGAGCCAGTGACCGAGGTATGAAAGGGCCTGCGGTATCACCGGCGGCACAACCTCTTCCTGCTCTTCCACGGCTCCGCCAGCCCTGACTTGAAGGAGTTTTGTGTGGTTGAATGTAGACGTAACCAGCTGCCTGTCACTGAGCTGGACACTTCGGAATTACTGTGGAGCACTTAAAATAGGGCCTGGGATATACTGGTTACATTTAAGGCTGCAAAACATGTTGATTCACAAGTTATATCTGTGAGGTTGTTTTTATTTTTGTAGTTCTAATCCAAAGATGTTTGAGATGGGATGTTTCTGAAGAGGGCATGAAGTGTCTGCCCAGCTCATGCTTTTGTTTTTTTCCATTATGGGCAGAAAAAAATTGGCATGAGGCCTTTAGAGCTGTTCCCACAGGTACCTGTCTGCACCCGAAGCTCGTGCTGGCCGTACGTGAGTCTCCCTCCCCGTGCGCTGGCTGGCTGACTGCACAGGAAGGATCCTGGTCGGGTTCACTTCCCTCCAGCTGGCTGCAAAAACTCATGGGATGAGGCCAGCCTTTTTCCGTCTTTCCCGAGGTTGTGAACAATTGGTAATCTGCCCTGTGGTTGCTAAAGATAGTCATGTTTGACAGGGGCAAAGACCTTTCCTTGTCTGGACCTGAAAGCTATCATCGTATTTTTTTTTTTTCCCCTAGTGGTTCATTCCCCACATAAGAGGGGAGAAGGGGCTTGTCCTTCTCTTAAAAAAAAAAAAAAAAAAAAGTTTGTGTTTTTTTTTTTTCTTTTTGTTGGCTGTTAGCAAGCACAAAGAGCAGGAGAAAGTCCCTCTTGGCTTTAAATAGCTTTCAAGGTTTCTGTAGTAAACTTTTCTGATGCTAAAAGTACTTGCAGAAGTTATTTTGAAGAATGGGAGTGTGAGGTGGAGGGAAGAGAAAGCAAAACAAGTCTGGGAACATAACCCTTAGGGGGAACATGCCTTCTGAAAAGGGTGGGAACTCCTGCAACAAGACTCCACTGTTTCAGAGATCCCGTAGGATAAGTCTGAGACTTGCTGTTGTGTGGCTGATTTACGGACAGGATGCGGGGTGGGATGTGGTAGCTTTTGTCTAATGACAGCGGGGGGGGTCGGAACCATATTCCAACATGTGAAATACCACGTGCTTCTGAGTTGCTCATCCCCGAATTTTTAGAGTGTGTGTGCTGTTTTCCTGCTTTGTCCTATTTTTTTTTTTTTTTCAATTGAAAAATAATTTACAAAAGGTTTTTTTTTTTCCCCCATCTGCTTGCTTTTATATCCCACAAGCTTTTTCAAATGCCTTTCAGCCCTCTGTGGTGCCAAGTTGTGTTGGAAGTCCCACCCCTTCGTGTTAGCTGTGAGCCGAAGCGAGGGAGTTCTTTGGGGAGCAGGACTGTCACCTTCCCAACGCCTCGACCGTCAGGTTGGGCTGAGCATGAGCAGCTTCGTCAGGTTAACGAGGACGGGTGTCGTGTCTCGGTGGAGCTTTTGGTTTGCTCCGCGCCCCATGTGTCTCTGGCAAAACAGGAATGTCCAGTGTCTGGGAAGTGCAGGGTTTGGGGAGAGGCAGATCTCATGCCAGGCTAAATCAGGGGGGACCTCCCCCCCCCCACCCCCCACCCCAAATCTGCCCAGCAAGTTCCCGAGGGCGGCGTGTTTCTGGCAGCAGTTGCTGTAATTGTCCGAGCTGCGTGAAACCTCTGGGAATGACTCGGTTTGTTGATTTTTATGGTATTTAAATTTATGCAATGTGTTTCAAACGGGTCAAGGTGCGTGTAACCTTTTCCCTTTGGACACAACATGTTTTTTCGAATGGATGGTATCTGTCGGTACATAGTTTTTTTGCCAGATGTTATTACTTTCAGGCCAGCTGCCTTGCCGGCTTGAATCAGCAAATGGTTTGTTTTCTGCTGCACTGAAATTTAACTTGCTTTGGATCAGAATTTTTATATTTCTTATATTTCTTTGTACTTTTTTTTTTTTTTTCTGTGTGGTGAAGTCAATAAATGGACTCAAAAAAGAAAAAAACCATTGAGTTTTCACATCTGTTTGTTCGTTTTGTTCTTTACGTGGTCTCCTTTGAAACCTGGCAATGACAGTCCAGGTTAGTTCCTCTTTGTGCAAAGAAAAAAAAGTTTTTACAGAAGCAGCACTCTCTGAGCTGAGTGGTTAGTGTTCAAAGCTTTGCATGCTCGACTTGCACATGCAAACCTGGCCCTTGTGTGACCAACTAACCCTGCAGCCGGAAGGAGCCGAGACAGGTTTCAGCCAAGAGCGGATTTGAAAAGTTTCCAGTCTGCTTCACGATCCTCTTGACTGGCTTGGTCCCTTGTACACGTGGTGGTGAGTGGGGCTCTTTAGGACCCGACCTTAAGACAAGAGGTTAAACTGCTTTTAACGGAGCTCAGTTGTGGATCTCTCCTGTTGTATTTCTTCTTTCACCCACAGGGAGGCTCTGAGGAGGATGCAGTCTGGATCCCAGCACAGCCAGTCTCCTTGAGCGGCCCAGATTGGAAAAGTAAGAGCCCAGTGGTTCCACTTCTGTTCCCCCACGGCGAGAGCAGCCTGTGTGGGATACTGCTGCCCGACCAGCTGTGGAAAGGGGAAGAGAGGGTGCCCTCATCGTCATCAGATGATGAGGGTGCTTCTGGGTACTGTTTAATCCTGCTTCCTGCAGTAAATTAAAGAAACTTTCTCCTTTCCCCCACTTTTTCCCTAAAAGGAGAAAGTCCACTTTCCAACACTCTCGTCCAACTTGGCTGGACACCAGCTGCCTGGCACTGAGTGCAGAGGACGGGCTAGGAAAAAGGGAGGGCCACTTGTTTTCCTCTTGACAGCATTGCTGAGACCTTGGGGGAGGAAAAAAGCATGGGAATGGGAGATTAAAATGAAAATTCTCCGTTCATCTGCGCATGGGGTTATTGGAATGAACACTCATCCAAGTCTTCCTACGAGGAGATCAAAGCGCCACTCTGCTGTGCGTCTTTAGGGTGATTTCCTGAAGAAACAAGAATTACTGAATTGTGCTCCAAGAGCTCTTTGAACCCCTTGCCTGCTTCCACCCTGATTTGAGAGTGCTGTAGAGGCCTCAAAACTATTTTATTCCTACGGGTAGAGTGAACATAATGGGGAAGGAACAACCCTGCAGGTCCCTCAAGGGAGAGAGGCCGCAGCATGAGCGTCCCATCACACGTACCAGGACATGGTGAGTGCCAAATGTGGGTTGTGTTGGGGTGGCTGCACCACACACCTCCCCGTGAGTCAAAGTCCAGGAGTGGAAAAAATGCTAAATGAAACCAAAATTATCTGCAGGCTGGGTTGGGCACTGCTTATCAAACAGAATTGTTCAGGTCTGTGCTGAGAAATAGTGACAGGGCCAGAGTTTATCCGAGAGGCCCTTAGGGTGGAGGTGACGCAGACTTAATGCGTGAGCACGGGGTGAAACTAGGCACCCTTCGGTGAAGGTCTTCACCCCATCAACCCCTCCCTCCTCCTGCCGCTGTCTGCAGGCCGGGGGTGTCCCTGCATTCTGCACAGCAGCTGTTCAGGCTCTTTTATGGACGTAGCTTTTGTGCTTATTCTTGGTACCAAGGAGGCAGTGGGAGGAGAGGACCTTGAGCAAATACCTCAGGTCTGTGAGGTGCCCCAGCCCGTCCATCCCCTCCACTCACATCCCAGCTGGAGCTTTTCCCCTCTCCCTTTGCTCACCCAGTTATCAGTCATGAGCTATGAGAGCTACCTTGAGCAAACACTCCCAGATCCACGCCCTGACCTCCACTCCAGGTCCTAAGTTAACCCACCAATGCGCAAATCCTGCTAATCACCCTAATTTTTTTTTTTTTAAAGTTTTGAATTCTTGAACAGCTTTATGAACAAACAGCTTGAACATGAGGTGATCTTTACAGCAGGGCAGCTGTATTTTCATTATGGGTAGGGCACCAGCCAAGTAAACACATCAGCTTTGCCTCCGTAAGATAAAAGTCCATTGCCTGTGAAGGTTTGTTTAGATTAACAAAAAAAAAACCCAAAACAACCCAAAACCCAAACAAACAAAATAGGTGAGATTGCATTTGCAGAGCTGGAGCTCTTTTGTGTAAGGAGATGAGGGAGAGCAGCAGGCTTACGTGCCCCTCCGGAGCTGTGGGTAGCCATGGCCTGGGGGGTGCTGCTGTGGGGTGTTGGGGTGTCACTGCACACTCGTGTGCTTAAATTGGATGTTCCTGTTCTGCAGAAGGTCCTGCGGTAAGACCTGCCCCAGCTGCACTTGACTTGTTAAAGCTTCCCCCTGGTAGCTCCGGCCCATCCCAGTTTGAACCAGTCACCTTTCCAGAAGGGTTTTCTGTTGGTTTTCTTGTAACTTGTCTTTTTTTTTCTCCTTGCATGGCAGGGGACTTCTTGCAACCAAGCCGTTGCTTTTTGCCCCTTGGGCTTTCCTCCAGAGCCAGCAGCTCTCAAACACCATCTGCCTCTTCTGCGATGGGTGCCGAGAAGGGGAAGACCTCCTGCACTAGGTTGGTGATGAAGCAGGGCATCTCCTTGCATCCCTCGTAGGCGCCCCTGGCCTGGCAGCAAAAGGCCACCTCCCAGTTTACGCGGGTCATGAGGCGGTTGAGGGCCAGGTGACGTTCCTCTCCCTCCAGGACCTTGAGCAGGGCCTGGAGGAACATGGATCCACAGATGTTGAGGAAAGCCACGTAGCCTACAGAGCGTAAAGGAAGGAGAGCAACGTTGGCTGTGCTACGGCCCTGCGACGGCGATGTTGCCAAACCTTGTTGGTGTGTCAGGGCAGGTCCCTTACCTGGGCTGCAGGCAAACATCACAACGGTTTGGGGAGGGATGGAGAGGTAGTCTGGCCCACACTCTGGCTTGGGCTCCCTGCTGTCACACTCCACAAACACCCCCTGGTCGAATTCTTGCCCCCGGCAAGCCTGTGGGTGGAATGGCTGTCATGAGCTTCCCCCCTGCTCTGCCCTCTCCCTTTTGCCTGGCTCCAGGGCAAGCCTAAAGCTCCTGGGGTCTTCGGGGGCTCCCTGTGGACCTGTAGTCCCCCCTCCAGGCCAAACCTACAACCCATCCCGTGGCGCAGAGCACCTCCCAGCTCCCGTTCCCGGAGTCCTACAGCCCCCTGTGGTTCCTCTCCCATCTCCTTCCCCTTCCCATCTCATCCGTCGACCACCCTCTGCCCCTCCTCATCCATTGCAGCTCGGCTTTACCAAGCCTCTCTCGCAACAAGCCTAGAGATGGGGCTCCCTCCCCTCTTCCCCGTGCCTTTCTCACAAGGCTGGTTCCACTTCTCCTTCCATTTGCCCCTCCCCTCTGCCGGGCTGCACATGTGAACCCAGGAATACACCTGGGAAAAGCAAGAGTCCCCTGGGAAAGTGCTGGCAGAGATTCCCCTTGGAGCACAGCCCAGTATGTGCCCGGTCCTTTATTCTAAGTGATGGTTTGGTCTGTCTTGCAGGGGCGGCGTGCTGGGCTGGTGTTGGGAAGGTGCTGGAGAGGGACCAGCGCTGCTGAGGCTGCTCTGAGGGCACGTTTCACCCCTCCCCAGAGTCACCTCTGCTGTGGCACGTTGGCTGGGACCAGACCAAATGCCAGCGGGTGACATCTCCCAGCGTAACTTCGCCTCTCCCTGTTCAAACTCCCCGGCAAGCGCCCGCGGTAAATCCTCGCTCGGGATGGGGCCCGCAGAGGTGGCTGCAGCAGCCTGGCACTGAACAGCCCCCAGGGGTGGGTGGGGGTCACCGGGTGATGCTGGGGGGAAGCAGCCCTGCTCTTCCAGCACCGGCAGCGTTTCTCAGCACGAGCACAAGCTTTTCCCATTCGTGGAGGCGCCCAGACCAGACTCTGGGTTTCTCGGCTTTTCTGGGGGATGTCCCCGGCTGTCACCGCTCCCTGAACAGTGGCCAAACCCTTTACCAGAAGGAAACAAATGCTGTGAGTGATTTATACGTGCTTTCGGGTGAAAATATTTCTGTGTGTTTGCATAATGTTTGTGGAGCTCACGCTATCTGCTGGTATCTGTCCAGTTGCTGGGTTATTTGCTCAGTGATCTAATCCTCCTTGTCAGATCAGCGTTAAAGCGTACTTCCAGGGCTCCCTTCCTGCAACTGCATGTTCACACTCTCCTCTGCTTCACTGCTTGGGAACCAGCTGGGGGCTTTATTTTTTTTTTTTTTTCCTGCTACATCACCAGTCCACAGCTGGGCTTCTCCTAGCCCTACCTCAGGAGTCTGCTGTGCCCAAATGTCATGGTGGTGGGATCTGAAAGCAGCTTTTACTGATTCATCTACGTGCTGGGGGGGTCTGGGAGGAATATTTAATCCCAGCGATGTCATGTACCATGGCAAATAATTTGGTTTCGGTCCAGAGGGGGCAAACCACTGGGAGAAACGCTCCAGTCTGGAGACACTGGGGAGAGACTGAGGCTGTTTCCCAGAGAAAAGACACATTGTATGGGTGATGAGAGGCTGGGAGGAGAGTGTATGCAGTGAGCAAGGAGACTTCAAAATCATTGAAAGCATGAAAAAAGAGGGATGGAGGGTTGTGGTGGAAAGCTGGGAAGTGAAGAAAGGACCACGCTCTCACATGGATTTACCAAAATCCACAATTAAAGCAGATTTATAGTGGTAGCAGCCTTAAGCCTCATGCTTGTGCCAGTCTAATTCTGCACAAATGTAGCAAAAAAGGGATCAAACAATCATCCAGCAGCTGTGTTACCTGGATAAAGAAGATTTTGGGTATTTTGCTGAGCGCCGGGCACTTCTCTGAGGATAAAATCTGGAAAATCCGGGTCAGTTTAACTGGCTCTGTGTCACAGCCGAATATGACCCCCTCCTCACCATGGCTGGAGATGATGCTCACAAAGTACTCCCCGTGCTTGCAGCAGCACTCTGCAACGACACGGCCAAACCGATGCCTTCGAGCATCGGCTCAGGGTGTCGCACAGGGTACTTGGACTGAGAGGTGGGAAATGGGAGATGTCTGGGTTTGGGGGAAGATATGGAGGAGACGTGGGGGCTGGCAAGGGGGCACATACCTTGTTGGTAAAGGTCTTCTATCTCCTTGGCTGTCTTGTTATGCATCACCTTCACTTTGTAGTTGAGCCGTGAGAGAATCCTGGAAAGCTGCTCCGCTTCTCTCTTGGCTCCTTTCCGCGTCCCGAACACCACATCACCATCGCTGCTGCAGAAATTGGTGTTGACGATGACAAGAGCCCGGCTTTGCCTTGGCTGGGACATGCTGGGATGTCCCCCTTGAGATGGTTAGGTGGTCTCCAAACCCCCCACGGCACTGGCGGGGAGCTCAGGCTTGTCTTGGGGTGAGCCTTGCGTGCTCCTTCAGGAAGTCCAGGAGAGCATATCCTGCTCCGCTGGCTGACTCAGCAGCAGCGTGGCTGATTTTCAAGGACAAGACAGAATCAGTGCCCTGTCACCTGCCAAGGGAGCGAGGTGGCACCTGGGCATGAGTCATGGGGGTAGGAGAGGGCCATGGCTCACCCCTGGGTTCAGCAGAAATCACCGGCTGCCAGAGGGCTGGGCTGGCACCATACAGCCTGGAGCTTATGGAGCACATGTGGGGAGGGGGAAAAAAAAAAAAAAAAAGTGGTTTCTCCCCAAGGGGATGGCAAGAAGGTTGGAGGGGGGATGGATGGAAATGCCTGCATGGTGGCAAATGCCAGCAGCAACCAGGCAATCCCTCCCTGCCTTGCTCACCCTACACGAGTCCTGATTTCCCCCAAAAGCCAGGCAATTCCTATTTCCCATTACTGACTACAGGGAAAACAACCCCATCCAGCTTCCCCTACAAGCTCCTAGCAGGTCTTTTCAGCCATTGTGGCTTATTGCCTAACCCTACCTGCTTGGGGTACCTATTTATGGCACTTCTGCAATTATTTCTCCCCAAAAGCAGTCTGCACTGGTGCAGGATGAACCCTCAGCAACGTGCTCACAAGAACTAGTCTCAACTGCATCCCCTCTCTCGTTCCCTTCCCAAACTTGCTGGTCTGGAGTATCAAAAAGCCACCCTCTCATGCCACCCTAACCCCAGCCCTGCTGATCCCACATCACACGGCACGAATCACAAGATGTTTATTGTTATTTTATTTATTTTTGGTCTCACGTGCTTCCCTTCCCATTCAGAGAGGGCTTTGATCACGGTCCCAAGCTTTTCCCAGCAGACAGAAAGGCTAGACTTTGTTTTATTGCTAAAGGAGTGGGTGTTTGTACCATTGCAGGGCTGGGGAGCTGCATCACAGTCCTGCTGCTCTGCTGCAGCAAGGCACGACTTTGAAAGCACTATACATCTAGCAAGCCCTGTTGCTCTTAAATAGCTTTAAACCTGCCTTAAATCCTTTCATACCTGGACTGGGCATGTGAGAGGGGCTTGCTTACTCCACCACCCCGTTGACCCAGGAGCTGACTCCTTCCTAAAGGACCGTGTCCGTGAGCCTCTCCTGGGCTTGGGTTGGTGTGATTTCCTCTTGCTTAAATGCAGCCAGTGCCCATGCCCGTCTCAGGGAGGTGCTGCTTCCTCTGTCTCCACAACCCCCGGGGCTGCTGAGTCCCACGAGGAGGTTTAGGAGCCCAACTCAGCGCCAAAGCTACATCTGAAAGAGGGAAAGCATTCCCCCGGGGCTCGCTCCCCTTGACCCAGCAGATCTGGGGGGGTGCAGGTGAAGGTTGATGCTCTTCCCATGGTGCAGGTGGCTCTTGTACACTGGGGAGGATCAATTGACCAAGGGTAGAAGCTGTTGGGTTTTGCCTTCCAGTGCAGTCTTGTTTTTTGGGGTTGCCTTGACTTCTTTCTTGGCCACTGCTGCATATGGCAGCCCTTGGAGCACCTCTTCCCTAAGCTAGGAGAAGGGTTTTCCCCTTCCAAGGGTGGCCAGGGATCAGCACTGGCTCTTACTCGCTAGCGGTGGATGTTGTGGCGGCAGGAGGTGAGCTCTAGGTGGGTAAGGTCCAAGACAAGCTGGCTGGAAATGGAAACGGCATCTTCCTGGGCCTTTGGCTTTGTGTTAGAGAAGGGTGTGCTACAGGTGATTTACGGCAGAGAATAAGGTGCTGCGGGGGAAAGGAGGTCCTGGCTGGTGGGACGACAGGCGTTAGTCCTTCTTCTTGGCATTAGTAGCCTGCGTGCGCTTTTTCAACTGTGCCACATCAATGTAGAGGTTGCGCTTGAGGATGGCGCTGGCGCAGATGAGGGCTCCTTGCAGGGCTCCCATGAAGCCACCCAGGCACAAATCCTGCCCTAGAAGAGAGCAGGAGGCAGTGATGGCAGTGGCCAGGGCAGGGACCCGTGGGCAGCACATGCTTGCCATCCCCAACTGACCATCAGTGTTGTTTCGGACATCAACCATCCCAATCCATCACCTGCCCTCCCCACCTTCCAGCTGCCCCCGAGCCATCCCTTGGGTTTGAACCTGTGAAACCCCACCCTGTTTGACCTGTTCCTTCTCCCCAGCAGGGAAAGGGCCTCATCCTGTCCAGCTAAAATAAATCAATGCTGGGCAGGGAGACAAGGTCCAGGAGCTAGAGGAGGCACAGCCCTTTCCTCCTCCTGTTGGGAGCATGCAGCTCCACTTGGACGTGCTCCAGTGGCTCTTGCATCACCCCATGGCACGGCAGTGGCTTATCCCCTTATTTCACTGAAGGATTGAAGGTTTTTCTCTCTCCATATCCTGCTTCCCCAGAGGTTTCCTCAGCTGAGAACGTGGTGTCTGGATGGTGGCCGTGGTACCTGTCAAGTAGAGGTTGGGGACAGCCGTCTGTGCCCTCACAGCAGCAATGGCTTCAACTTGCAGGCGGGCGATGGTGTGGTCCATGCCATAGAACTCCCCCTTGGGGCTAGCGATGTAGTGCTGGTTGGTGAGGGGTGTCCCACTGGAGATGTACTCAATCTGTGGGGGACAAGGGGACAACGTGGTCTACAGAGGGTAGGCATGATGGTGTAGGGTGCCCTGTACTCCAGAAAACTGCTGATGTCGGGTACGGGCCAGGACAGGTTTCTTTGCAGACCCTTGTGTGGTGGTTCTGGCCAAGTTTGGTCTTGAGATGGTCCTAGGGGACCACCATCCCTCCTTGCACCATGCGTGGTCAGGAGGCAGCAGCAGTGGGTTGGTGCCACATTGCCCAGTGGGACCTCACGGCCAGCAGACCCAGACCCAGCTCCTATGTTTGCAGGATGGGGCTGGGTAGGTGCTACCCAGGAGGGGAGCTGGAGGACCCCTGAACCCTGTGTTTCCTCACCCTGTCCTCGATGCGAGGGTAAAGCTTGAAGACAGACTGCATGACAGTGTCCACAAAGGTCTTCTTCAGCTCCTCATAATCATCTCCCCGCTTATTGACCTGCTTGTCCTTCCACTCCTCAAACCACTCGTATTTGGTGAAGCTCACAATGGCCAGCGTGGATTTACCTGCAGTAGGACAAGGTTGGGGTGGTTGTCCCTGTGTTCACCTTCGTGCCACCATTTTGCTGCCACAAATGCAACCCTCCCTGTGCAAACATCTGGGATGTTCTCATGTCTTTGTGGTCCCATATCCTTCATCCAGTTATCGTGAAGACCACTTTCCACAGGCAACATGCCCAGCAGCTTTGCCCATGGCTATTTTAGGAGAAACTCCTCATTTGCAGTCATCAAAGATACAAAACCCTGCAGAAGTTTTCAAGCCACTCATGAGTGCTTGTGGTTGGACTTCAGCCTTTACCTGGGTGCCTCATTTCCCAGGTGGGGTCCTTGGCCGATGGGCAGGTGACAAACAGGAGAGGGATGTTCTTGGCAGCTTCTTCTCTGGAAGAAGCCAGGTAGTGATTCATTCTGCAGAGACACGCAAAGGTTTGGGGTTGGTTTTGGTGCAAACTTTTCCCTGAATACTTACAATGGCCGAATCCCCATGCAGCGAGGATCTGCCAAGAGCTTTTTGTGAGTCACCACCCAAGAATTCATCTCCTTATGCTCAAGGAAGCACATCTAAGGTGAAGCCAAACCTACATTTCATCCAGGTCACTTCCTGGGTACATGAAGTAGTTGGTGGGCTCCAGCCCCAGCTCTTCCCTCGAGCCGTTAAGACCTACGAAGACGGTGAAGCCCCCTTCACCATGTGTCGCCATGCGAAGCTGAGACTGGATCTCTGTGATACAGAGGGAAAAAGGGGAAAATAAGTATTTTCTGGGATCCTCAGCTGTGGAGAAGTGGTTTCTCCTAGAAGAAGCCCTCCTCATATCTACATTGCTTCCATGTTGGCTTGTAAAACTGGTTTATCTTGAAACATCTCATGTGTGCTCAAGGGATAGGACGGAAACTCCTGCAAACTGCAATGAAGGCAGCAGTACTGCTATTTCCTATAAGGGGTGGTTTAGGGTACCCCTGGCTTGAGCTTTTCCTGTATTTAATGACCTTCTCAGATTTAAATGTGCTCCTGCTTTGCAAATGTCGAATGGTTGTAGACCAGGACCATATAGTTGCCCAAAAACCTTCCACCCAACTGTGCCCCTTTCCACCCAACCATGCCGCTTCCAAAGCAGCAAGGAGATTTTGTGACAGCACTAAACCCAACTTTAAGTGGACATTTCACCAACTTTCCCAAGTTTTGGGGCACTATGCTGTGGTTTTTAGGGAAACCAAGCAGCAAGCCAGAGCTTTGCCAACTCTATGGCCAGTTTGGGCAAATTAATTTAAGCTTGATTAAAAACCCAGCAAAGAAGTGTATAGCCAGGGATGGTGTTTTGAATGCCACAACACGAAGGATGGGGTTTTGCTGATGTCCAAGAAATAATTGTAAAGAAGCTGATTTTTGATGCGGCTCGGAGGGGGATTAATGCTGTAACCCCAACGAAACCCAATGCTGCCGTGTTTTACCCGGCAACGCCCGCGCCTCCGCCGGCAGGAGCCATTCGTAGGTGTTGAAGATCCCGGCATCCGAAATGATAATGGGAGCGAAGATGCTCACCGAATCTTGGCCTTTCTTGACGCTCACGCCTGGAAGGGAAAGGAGAGGAGGGGAGGCTCTGGTTAAAAGCCACACTGCGCTGGGGAGAAGCCCCGTGTGCCCCATCCCGTGCCAGGGCTCACCGCAGGCTTTGCCCTGGGAGTCCAGCAGGATCCTCTGCACCGGCGCCTTTCCCAGCACGTTGCCTCCGGATTTCCGGATAACGGGAATGGTGTGGAAGGCGATTTCCCCAGCCCCGCCTTTGGGGTACCACGCGCCGTGGAGGAAGTGGTTCACCAGGATGCTGTGCATGGAGAAGCTGGCCTTGGAGGGCACCACGCCTGAAAAAAGGGGGCAGTGTTAGGTGAGTTTGTGCTGAATCGTGGTTCTGTGGCTTATCATGAAGGTTTTAGGATAAGGAACGCCCTGTCCTCGGCTGGATGCGATGCTGTAAGGATGGATGCACGTGAGAAACGACGCATCATTGGTACCCAGAAGAACAGGGAGGGTGTCAGACATCGGTGGTCCCGTGGCAAAGCCCGTGTCTCGTTTGCAACTTGGGCTGTGCCCACTGAACCCGCCGAGTCACTGGGGACTGTGAGCAAACCCCCGGGGCGGGTGGGAGGAAGGGAAGGGGAAGGCTCAGGGTGAAAGGGTTAGGGCAAGGCCGGAGCGGTGGGTGCCAGCGTGCGGTTAAGGGTGGGCAAATTCTCCCTTGTGTGGGAGGAGTGATGCTGCCACACTGTGAAGCCGAAGGATGTGGAGAGAAAGAGATGAAGGCAAGCAACGGGGGCATGGGGAAACCCAGCCGCTGGCTTGGGGACAAGGATGCTGGCAGAGCGTCCATTCATGCAGCATCCCTTGCCTGCAAACCATGGCAGCTATTACCCTTATAAAAGCAAAGGAAAACGGGTTTTCTTGGGGTATGCTTGCTTTTTTTTTTTTTTTTTGTTTCTAAAGGGTTTAACTTCACCCCTCACAGTGCCTCCGAGCTTCCTGGCTACTTACCGTAGGTGGGGAAGAGGTAGCTGAAGACAGCCCGGAGGTCGCGGTTGGTGGTGAGACCATCCACCACCTCCTTGAGGCTGCGCGACGCCAGCCGGCAGAAGGGGCTGAGCCGCGGCAGCAGCCCCGAGCGGCACAGCAGCCTGGCCAGTGCCCGGGGGAGCATTTTCAAGATGATCATCACTGCGGTCCCTCTGGCGACGCTCTGCGGGGGAGGAGGCTGTTGCTGAGCATCCCACGCTGGGGGAGCTGCCCACAACCCCGGAGCGGGCTCCAAAGATGCTCAAAAAGCATCTTTTCCCCCTTAAATTTACGGCTTGGCTGGCAGCGAGGAGACAGTATCTCTTAAGCGCTGCATCCCGAGGAGCTGCGGGCAAGGGGAGTACCTGCCCCCCTCAAAAAGATCCGTTGGAGGCTCCCAGCCTGTGTGGTGGTTTCAGAGCATAATTAATGTTAATTTAGCAGTTTTGATAACGATTGCAATCACCCCTCCGGCCAGGAGGTCCTGGAGCATCACCCCACGGCGCTTGGGGGGTGTGTCAGGGGTCCCAGCACATCCCATGGGACCATGAGCCTCCTTGGGGAGCGGTGTTAAAACTCTGGATGCGATGCCAGCTTTTTGAGGCAGTAAATGGAGATTTTTGACATGTTTCCCAATGCTTTTGGGACTGGGCAGAGGTGGGTTGTGCAACACCGTTATTTTCTGCAGTTGCCCAATATCTGGGTGTTGGGGGAGGGAGTGGGAATTTCCCCTCATTTTGTGACCCTGCGGAAGGGGACCAGAGCCAAAACAATCCCCCCGTCCCCTCCCTGCAGGCAAAGCCGAAGTCCCTTCTACCTTCACCAGCTGCTCGAACTCATCGATAGCGGCCCCCTCCCCGGGAAACTGCTCCTTCAAGCCTTGGAAATATTCCTTCTTCCCCGAATAGATGCGATACGTCCTGCCCCTGCCGGGCTCCCCCAAAACCACGGCATCGTAGACGGCCGGCAGCTGAGCCCACTCCAGCTGCCCCTCCGTCAGCTGGTCCACCAGAAAGCGCGTGATGGAGCCCTCCTGCATCTGCCCCACGTAGTGGATACCTGGAAGATGTATTTTTGGTTTATTCTGGGGTTTTCTTCCTTTTTTTTTTTTTTTTTTTTTAACACCCCATCACATACCCCTGGGATGTACAGGATCCTCCTCTTATTTCTTCACCTCCCACCCCAGCAGCTTCCTACGGAGGGGAAAGGGAAAAGTCGGGAAACACCCATCTCCCACTTCAGGTCAAAGGGAAAACCAAGTGCTTGCTGTCATGTTTTTAAACAGCTTTTAGGAATTTTGTGACACATTAATAGTTTTCCTTCCTACATTGCTGTAAATAATTAATCCCGTGCAACTTGAGGGACCTATGGGGATGGACTTTGTCTTGCTGGAAGGAGTTTAGCAAGGGAGCTGAAATCCCCCGTATGGGGAAATTTATAGGATCTGAGCTGGATTATGGGGAATTTTCTAGGGTTTTGATGTTCCAGCAACAAGGCACGACCAGCAGCCTTTTGTGCTTCAGCAGGAGGATTTGGGGTGAGGGAAGGTGTGTGATAGCACATTGCTCATGCAGAAAATGCACTTGTATAACCCGGGGCGGGTGCTGGGGATGCCTGCTCTGGGTCCCCCGACTGTTTTGGATGTTATTCCCACTACGGGCATCCCTCCCCCCCCAACCTTGCAGCTGCGACCCCCACGCCCCCTTTTTTTCCAGGGGTGAATTTGGGACCCCAAATGCCGTCAGGGGGCCGTACCGGTGTCGAACTCGAAGCCCTTCTTGCTGAAGGTGTGGCAGCAGCCCCCCAGCTTCCCATGCTGCTCCAGCACCAGCACCCGCTTGCCCGCCTTGGCCAGCAGCGCAGCGGCTGCCAGGCCCCCGATGCCGCTGCCCACCACGATGGCATCGAGCCCCTCGGGGACTTTATCTGCAGAGAAAACTGGGGGGGGGGGGGGAATCACACACACACGCAGCGACATATCCTCAGCAGTGGCATGTGGCACCCCTCGGGTGGGTGCACGGTAGCCAGTGGGTGACCCCCAAAACCTTGCTGGGGGGTGATGCCACCCTTGGGAGGAGATGCCACCTCTCTGGGCAATGTCCCACGGGGGGGTGGGGGTGGGGGATGCCACGCTGGGGGGGTCACGCTGCCCCGGGGGGTGATGCCACCCCGTTGGGTGATGCCCCTCCCCGGCGGAGCAGCGGGCTGGGGGGGGGGGGGGTCCCATCGAGAGAGACACACACACACACACGCACACACACACACACACACACCCCTCGGTACCTGTCTTGACGACCGTCCTGCGGGCAGCCTTGTCGGTGACGAGCGGGGCAGGGGGGCGCCGGGCATCGGCGGCGAAGGGGCTGGGGCCGCCGCCCGCGCCCCGCAGGAACCGGGCGAGGAGGAGGAATAGGAAGAGGAGGAGGAGGGCGAGGAAGAGCGGCGCGTATGGCCACATGATGCTGCCAGCGTCTGCCGGAGCGACCCGGCGGGGAACCCCGCTCCGCCCCGCGGGAAACGGGCGGGAGCACCAGCACGGCTTGGGGGGGGGGGGGGCGGCGGGGGCCGGGAGCTGGCACCGGGCACTGGGGAGCTGGCACCGGGCACTGGGGAGCTGGCACCGGGCACTGGGAGTTGGCACCGGGCACTGGGGAGATGGCACCGGGCACTGGGGAGCTGGCACCGGGCACTGGGAGTTGGCACCGGGCACTGGGGAGCTGGCACCGGGCACTGGGACCTGGCACCGGGCACTGGGGAGATGGCACCGGGCACTGGGGAGCTGGCACCGGGCACTGGGAGCTGGCACCGGGCACTGGGGAGATGGCACCGGGCACTGGGAGCTGGCACCGGGCACTGGGAGCTGGCACCGGGCACTGGGGAGATGGCACCGGGCACTGGGGAGTTGGCACCGGGCACTGGGGAGCTGGCACCGGGCACTGGGGAGCTGGCACCGGGCACTGGGAGTTGGCACCGGGCACTGGGGAGATGGCACCGGGCACTGGGGAGCTGGCACCGGGCACTGGGAGTTGGCACCGGGCACTGGGGAGCTGGCACCGGGCACTGGGGAGCTGGCACCGGGCACTGGGACCTGGCACCGGGCACTGGGGAGATGGCACCGGGCACTGGGGAGCTGGCACCGGGCACTGGGAGCTGGCACCGGGCACTGGGGAGATGGCACCGGGCACTGGGAGCTGGCACCGGGCACTGGGAGCTGGCACCGGGCACTGGGGAGATGGCACCGGGCACTGGGGAGTTGGCACCGGGCACTGGGGAGCTGGCACCGGGCACTGGGGAGCTGGCACCGGGCACTGGGAGTTGGCACCGGGCACTGGGGAGATGGCACCGGGCACTGGGGAGCTGGCACCGGGCACTGGGAGTTGGCACCGGGCACTGGGGAGCTGGCACCGGGCACTGGGGAGATGGCACCGGGCACTGGGACCTGGCACCGGGCACTGGGGAGATGGCACCGGGCACTGGGGAGCTGACACCGGGCACTGGGAGTTGGCACCGGGCACTGGGAGCTGGCACCGGGCACTGGGGAGATGGCACCGGGCACTGGGAGCTGGCACCGGGCACTGGGAGCTGGCACCGGGCACTGGGGAGATGGCACCGGGCACTGGGGAGCTGGCACCGGGCACTGGGGAGATGGCACCGGGCACTGGGGAGCTGGCACCGGGCACTGGGGAGATGGCACCGGGCACTGGGGAGATGGCACCGGGCACTGGGAGCTGGCACCGGGCACTGGGGAGCTGGCACCGGGCTCTGGGTAGATGGCACCGGGCACTGGGACCTGGCACTGGGCACTGGGGAGCTGGCACCGGGCACTGGGGAGTTGGCACCGGGCACTGGGGAGATGGCACCAGGCACTGGGGAGCTGGCACCGGGCACTGGGGAGATGGCACCGGGCACTGGGGAGTTGGCACCGGGCACTGGGGAGCTGGCACCATCACGGACCGGGGGGGGGGCCGGGAGAGGAGGGCGCTGGGGGCTGGGAGCTGCTGGTTTGCACTGGGAGGTGGTTGCGGGCACTGGAAAACTGGAACCGGGCCCTGGGAGGTGATGCTGAGGACTGGTGTACCGCAAAGCGGTAATTAGTTAGCTCTCTAAGATTCAGTTTTGGAGTTTTTGAAAGCAGGCGTTCTTTGTCACAGCGCCGGACACACAGGGGGGAGCTCCTCCTAATGTGTGTAAAGACAAAATCAACAAGCATTTATACCACCTTAACATACATATTCATATCATATTCATAACTTTTCCAGGAACTCATTAGCATCTATTAATGTTTCTCGTGCATATCTGTTGGAGTCTCCAGGTGGTCGTCGGGGGCCTTTAGGTGAAGGCTTGTAGTCTTCATCACCGCGTCTAACAGTTGACTCTTACTTCTCTGCAAACTCAGTCCTGTGGTCACATACAACTTGTCCTTCAAGGCTGGCCTGGTCTGGTTTGGGTGGTAATTTGCAGCTTCTTTATCTTTATGTTTCTTTGCACCTGCTACCACAAGGCCAAACCGTCTCAAGTCAGATTATTTCTGAGTTCCTGCTCCTACAGTTATTCCAACTATTCCTCAAAAGATTAGTTTGGTCCCATCTGCAGCACAACGGTTAAATGGTTAAAACAGCTTAAATTGATCTTAATAATTCTATTCCACAAATACCCGTGTTCTAATAATTTTAGTTCAAAAGCATCACCGGGAGCTGACACAGGGCACTGGAAGGTGGTGTTTGTCCCTGGGAGCTGGTACTGGGGGGTACTACTGGGCACTGGGAGCTGGCATTTGCCACTGGGAGCTGCTATGGAGAACGGAGGGCTGACACTGAGAACTGGGAGCTTGTGTTTGGCCCAGGGACCTGGCACTGGGAGCTGGGAGCTGATGCCGAGCACTAGTACTGGGCACCGGGAGCTGGGAGCTGGTATGGAGCGCTGGGAGAGCAGGGTGGGCGCTGGTCGGTGACACCGGGGGACCGGGGGGGGGGGGGCACTGGGAGCGGGCACTGGTCGCGTTCCGCGCGGTATGACCCTCCCGCGCCGCCGTCGGCCGCCCCGCGCTTGCATGCCGGGAGCTGCAGTCCCGTCTGTGCCGCCTCCCCCTCCGGCGGACTACATCTCCCGGCACGCAGCGCGGCGGCGCCTGCGCACTGCGCGGCGGCGGAGCCGGCGGGTAGGTGCCACCGCCCGTTCCGGTGGGCGCGGGGTCAAAGGGCAGCGGGTCAAAGGGCAGGGGCGGCTCCGGGGGGGGGTCGGGAACCGAGAAGGGTGCTGGTGTCGGGGCCAGGCCGCGGGAGAGGCCTGAGGCCTCCGGGGGGTCCCTGAGGGCCCGGGGCGGGCTGTTCCCCCCCCCGGCCCCGCCACCTGAGGCTCCGCTGCGGCTCCCGCCGAGGAGGGAAGCCGCTGACCTTCCCCGCAGGGCATGAGCGGCGGCGCCGGGGCCTCGGAGCGGCCTGAGGAGCGGCAGCGGTTCCACCTGCCCGGCAAGTCCGTCCCCGTGCGTGTCAGGCCCGAGCCCCTCCCCCGCGGTGCCCCCCCCCCCGAGCTCCGGGCAGCCCCTCGGTATCACACGCCCCCCCCCCCCCCACGTCGTTGCTTTATTTATCCGTTTATGTCCATATAAAATGATCTTTGGCATACCGAAAATGACCTTCCTGTTACCTGAGCTGCTAACGGAACAAAAACGTGCCCGGGGGGGGGGGTCTGAGCCGTTCCCACACCCGGGGCCCTCAGCCTGCAAGCAGAGGAGGGGGTTGGTTCCCCGAGGGAGGAGCTCAGGATTTTAGGGATCTGTTGTTTTTTCAGGGTCTGTTTCTCCTGGGTGATGGTTGTGTCTCTCTCTGTCCCCGCTTAGATCTCTGCTCTGAGACAAAATGGTCTCCTGCAGGCTCTCGTGCAGGGAGAGGGGCAGCCCATGGGCGCTGGTAAGTTTTTCCTCTCCTTCCTCTGTACTAATCTTGAAGTTTCCTGGTTGGGGGAAACTCTCGAAGGGAGCCTAAGCGACCCGACACTGGGCTCACAGGCAGATCTGGCTCCAGAATCGCGAAGCTTTCACCTTGCTTTGTCCCAAACTTGCCAAGGAGAAACCTTACAGCATTTCAGGAGAGGCTCTGGTTAGGATTTTTCCCCTGAGAAGGGGAAATTCTGTTCTGTGGAGTGCTGGGGGAAAAGAGCAGACATCCCCTGGATGTCCCTGCTGACTCTAACCTCCAGTGTGCCTTTCCTTCGGCAGAGATCAGCGAGGAGCTGCGGCGAGCCCAGGAGGAATGGGAGGCTGTGGAAGAGATCCAGTCAGGTACAGCCAGTGCCAGGGATAAGGGGTGTCGTTACAGAGTTGGACAGAAAAAGTCTGGGCAGGGGAAGGGACCTGGGTCCCAGAGGGCAGGAGTGAGCAGATGTCCAGCTGCGGGGGCATTATTGGGGGGTGGGGGAGAGCTGGGGAAAGGACTGAAGGCCTGGAGGGGGTGGGAGACCTGCTCCCTTCCCCCCCAGTGCCCCTCTGCCGTGCTGGAAGCTGGGAGCGAGCTCCCCGCACTGGGCCGGCCGCTCTGGCGTGAGGCAGGAGCTTGTTTCGGTGCCGGGAAGCTGGAGGGGGGCGGGAAGGGCTGACTCTGGGGTGGGGGTAACTCCGTTCTCTGCCCCCTTGCAGGGCTGGGGGGGACGTCGGCCAGTGCTGCGCCCGTGATCTCCTTCAATGAAGCGCTGCAGCACTTCCAGACAGCCGACCTCTCCGAGTGCCGGGTACGGGCAGGGCCCTGCGCTCTCGCCCTCTCTCAGGGGGGTAGTTTTAGTAAGTAGGAGAGGGGAGCGTGGCGGGAGGAGCACAGCGCTCTCCTCTTTCCCTTCTGCCTTCCCTCCCTTGGCTCAGCTCTTGGCGTCATCCCGCCCCTCCCAGCTTGCCCGTGGGTTTTCCTCCTGCCCAATTCCCCCAGCCCTGATCGTTTCTCTGTGTGTTTTCTCCTCTGCAGAAGAAGGTCCGGGCGATGGCACGCAGGCAGGGCCTAGCTGCTCTGGTTCACTTCTTCTTTGGCCCTCCCCGGCTCCAGCCGCAGCTGCAGGGAGAGCGGGAGCTGGCTCTGGCCATGGCACACTGTGAGTGTCCCCTCCACCCCCGGGCCGGCTGCTCCCCAGCCAGCGTCACTGTTCTCCTGGGACTCAACTCGAGGGGGGCTCAGGAGTGTAGTGGGGGTTCTGCTGACTTACTCTGTGGCAGCTGCTCGTCCCAAAGGACGCATTTTTTCCATCACCTCTGCTCCCCTGCTGCGGACATGCTTGCTTTCGGGGAGGAGTGCTGGATTTCGTGACCCCTTCCTGCAGTGCCACAGCCGCCGTTCCGCGTGTACGCCTTGACAAGGCACCAGGGAGATGCTCCACAGCTCTACAGCCCTTCCCACTCCTCGTTTCATGACCAGAGCAAACGAGACCTGAATCCTCTCGGTACCTTGGCGTGATGTGTGTCGTGTCGGGCTGTCCCGTGGTGGATCACGCGTGCTGAGCACTTGCAAACTCCTCGCCTGTGGTTTGCATTTGGTCGTGGTTCCCCAGGCAGTGCTGCTTTGACCACCAAAACTTCACGTGATGCCCAAATTATCCATTACCCCCACGCTCAGACAACACGCAGTCACATTGTGTTTCTAACACCTTTTCCTCTCCCTCCCATCTCCCCTCCAGCCGGATAAACACAGCCAGGACATTCTCCCTGACACCATCAGCTGCTCTTAGCTGCCCGATCTTCTTTCCAGCTGGGCTCTGGCTTTACCCTGCAGCTGGTGGTGGTTTCTTTCCCCACCACATCGCTGCGCTGGCACTCCAGAGCAGCAGGGCCGGGATGCTGAGGGGTGTTTTCTCTCTGCCAGGTGGTTTGGATAATAATGAGAGAGTGCACATGAGAATCCTGCAGACCATTTACAAGAAGCTGACCCACTCCAGGTTGGGCTGCCCGCGCTACGGGGCGCACTGGGAAGAGCTTGGCTTTCAAGGTAGGGCAGAGGGAGAGGCCTCTGGGGGGAAAGGTTTGCTGAGAGAGATCGCACTAGTCCCATTCCCTCTGCTGGATATGGGATCCAGAGGCAGCAGAAAGGGTTTGCTGCTCCTTCCCTCTCCCTTCATGCAGCTGCCATCCCTGCTGCTGTTTCATAGAATCACTGAGGTTGGAAAAGACCGTTAAGATCAAGTCCAATTGTTAACCCAACACTGCCAAGTCCCACTGAACCATGTCACTGAGTGCCACATCTACACGTCTTTTAATGCATCGAGGGATGGTGACTCCACTTCTTCCCTAGGCAGCCTGTTCCAGTGCTTGACAACCCTTTTGGTGAAGAAATTTTTCCTAATATCTAATCTAATCATCCCCTGGCACAACTTGAGGCCGCTTCCTCTCATCCTATTCCAGCTCCCTCAGCGGCTCCTCACAGGACTTGTGCTCCAGGCCCTTCACTGCTTTCCCTGCCCTTCTTTGGACGTGTTCCAGCACCTCGATGTCTGTCTTGTAGTGAGGGGCCCAAAACTGAACCCGGTATTTGAGGTGCAGCCTCAGATCAACGCTCCCACCCACCTCGATACTGTCTGCAGACTTCCTGCGGGTCCACTCGATCCCCATCGTCGATAAAGCTATTAAAGAAAACTGGCCCAAACACTGAGCCCTGGTTTCGTAGCAGAACTGTCACTGTCCCAGCCAGCTGTTGCAACCAGTATGACATCTGGACTGGTTGGCCACCTAACACCAGCACCCACTGCCGCGGTTGCCTGTGTCCAGCCAACGTGGGCGTAACAAGAAAGAGTTGGCGTCACCACGTTGCCCAAGTCGTTAATGCTCTTCATTAGCCAGCAATCTCTGCAGCTAATGAGCCGTCTCCAGAGGGCTGGTTTATTAATGACGTGCAGGTCAGGGCTCTGTCACTAAGGTTGCATCGCAGGTTGCTTTCAGCTTCAGCAGGGTAAGAAAAACAGCGTGATTAAAGCTGCCGCGTGCAGCCTCGCAGGAGTTTTCGAGCTGGTTGGCTTGTGAGTTAAATAGGCCGAGTTTTAATGAAGCCTAAAACCCTCAGCTGGAGGGAGACAGCTCCTGATTCTCCATCCTGTCGCGTACACAACTGGTTTTAAGCTTTAGTTTGCCAGCCAAACGTGCCCTGGGGTGCGTAGAGCTTGAAGCTGCTAACACTTAGAGAAGGTGCAGGAGTGGGTGGGTGGGAGAGCAAGGGCTTGTTAACGCCCACATGAAAGAGGCGGTGGCACCCGTTGGGCTCCAGTTAGGGAAATTCCCTGAAAGCTTTCCCTCGGGATGCGATTCCTGAAGGGAATCCCCGGCATCCCTCTGCTCTTGAGGGATGGTGACAGCGTTTAAACAGGTGACCCGAGCGCGACACCGGGCTGTCCCTTCCTTCCAGGTGTGGATCCCGGCACTGACCTGCGTGGGACGGGGATGCTGGGCTTGATGCAGTTGCTGTATTTCGTCATGGACCCTCAGACTCTGCCTCTGGCTCAAGAGATTTTCAAACTATCCCAGCACGAAACCCAGGCACGTCCTTCCGCCTTCTTCGCTTCCTCCCTGCAGTGGTATCTACCTATTAATTTCTAACACTCGGGGAAAGGGAAGCGCAAAAACCTTCCCTTCCGAGTAAGGGCTTGATCTTTTTGCTCTTTAATCCCTCTTGTGCTGCTGAGGGGAGGAAGGTGGTCCCCGAATTGCTGAGGAGCTCTGGTCAGAGGCTGGAGCCAAGCTCCAGGTGTTGGCTTTAGTCTGGGAATGACATTTTAGTGTCCTGGTGGAGATCTGAGATTTGTTCCCGGGATCCTGGGTGGGAGCTGAATTTATGCAGGTTCAGAGGGCTGGAGAAGCATGCAAAGAGCAGCGTGGTGTGAAAATGGGAGTGAGGGGAGCCTGTCTCCTTAAACTTGGCATTTTAGTCTCAGATATGCTTGGTTTTAAGCCGGAATACAAGCTTGGCTTGACCCACGACATCCGTCCAAGCCTTTATCCTTAGTGGTATTATCCTGTTGCCTGTGCCTGCCATCCCAGAGGTTTGGGGCCACACGGCTGCAGCGTAAAAGGGCTGGAGGTGTCTGGGCACCTCCGCCTGCCCGAAGAGAGGAGGCTTTGCCTTGCTGAGCCGCGACAACACTCATTCTCTTGCAGAATTTCCCCTTCTGCATCATGTCCGTGAACATCACCCGCATCGTCATCCAGGCCCTGAGGGAGGAACGTCTCTCCAGGTGAGGTTTGGAGCGGCCAACAGCTCCGTAGCCGGGCTGGGTGGTGATTTTGGGGTCTCAAACAGCATCTGGTTCCCGCCGAGGGGGTCCCCTCCTGCCGGCAGCTCCCTCGGCTGAGCCCCTCTCCGCCCGCTCCAGGGAGTGCAACCGCCGGCAGCAGGTTATCGCCGTGCTGAACGACCTGCACGCAGCCGCCTTCCTGCAGCTCTACCGTGTCTGGAAACGGCAGCACAAGACCGTCACCGACTCTGGCTTCCTCCTGAAGGGTCTGTTTCCCCGCGCTTTCCCCCCCCCCCCCATTTTCCCAGCCAAGGAAAATAACCCGAGGAGAAACCCCACGTGTTCTCAGCACGTTTGTGTCCTGCTGAGCCCGACCCCGAGGGGCGTGACGCCCGGAGAGCCCCAACCATTCCCTGTTTAATCTTCACGCTGAGATTTTCAGCAATCCGAGTGCCCTGTGGGGTGTTTTTCCCCGCTTTTTGCATCTCGAATCTTAAAGCTGAGCACCCACGGGAGCCCCCGCTGCGTTCGGAGGGCTGCTGTGTCGCGGCGGCTTGAGGTGGGTGACAACCGGGGCCGTTTCTGGCTCCCCAGGCTCGCTCACACCATGCAGCACGGTTGCGTAAGCCTTGTTTGTGGCTCGGGGTGTAAGCAGTGTCGCCGACAGCGTGCTTTTCGTGGTGAGTGCTAATTTAACCAGCGGGGTTATTTACTCCGGAGGAGACTGATGTCAGCAGAGCCGCCCGGATGCGCTGTGCTAATGGCTCCCTCTTAAAACCGGGTCCAGCTGTCGCGGTCAGGCTCAGCTTTGATCTGCTCTCCCCAGGCTTTCCCTCCTGGGGGGGATCTTGGGGAGCTCTGGCTGATGCCAAGCTCTGGGATTTTTAGCAAGAAGCTTTTCGTGTTCTCTCATCCCAAGCAAAACCTAATCACGCCCTTTCCTGAGGGGGATACGGCGGGACACCAGAAATTACGTATAGGTCAAAACCTGTGCACCGCATCCCCAACACCATCCAGACCTCGCTCTCTGTCCTCATGTGTTTCCCTCTCACCTCCTCAGAGCTGGAGTTATCCGCCAAAAAGAAACCGAGGCAGCTCCTGAAATCCCTGGAGGCCTACGTGAGCCGAAGCCCCGCGGCGGGCGGCTTTCAGCGACTGTCCTCCCCCTCGGCCTCCGGCGGCGGCAGCCGGCCCGGCGAGGAGATCGAGTTCACGGGCGTCTGCGACCTGCGGGTCGAGCTGGAAGGAGAAGCCCGACTGATCTGAAATGGTGGGAGAGGTGCCGCAGGGAGCCCGGCTCTTGGAGGGTGCCCGGCTGCTGCCGTCGCCTCTGGTTCGGGGTGGGGGGGGGCTCGGGAAGGGCCGTGCGGGTCGAGGTGGGAGACGGCGGAGCAGTGGGAGGAAGCGCAGTGAGAGAAGGGCCTGGGACCCAGCTGAGGGCAGTCAGGAGCCTGGGACGCCACAGGGGGTAGATTTTTGCCCCGAACCCCCAGAAAGAGCAGCCGGTTCCTTCCCCCTCTCACCCCACAAGCGTCCTGGCTGCCGTGTCAGCATCACCGGGTGCTGCGGGGGACGAGCCGCAGGATTCAAGCCTCCCCAGGCAGAATTCTTCCAAAGCAAAGGGGGAAAACGTGGCAGAGCGGGTGGATTTTACGAGCCGCCAGCCCTGGGGGCTGGGGTGGTCCAGCTGGCTGTCTCAAATTCGTGCTCCTGTCTGTCTTTACCCCCACCAGGAAGGTTTAGCGACGCTCCAGGCAGAGCTGGAGCACGGTGACAGAGCTCCTGAATCGAATCACAGCTCTGGCAGCACCGGGGAGGGTTTAACCCCCCACACACACACACTTTGAGCTGCAGCACCTTAATTTCACGTTGACGGTGGGGTAGGAGCTCGAGCACAGCCCCGTTGCTGGGGCAGTGGGGACAGCTTGTCCCCCAGGGTTTGGGGAGCCCCCCTGACCTCCCTGGGGCGTTACTGTGCATGGCAGCATCGAAATAAGTTAATGAGGGGAAAAAAAAGTTTTCCTTGATGTAATGGAGACTTTTGGACTTGGGTTTGCTTCTAGTTTCTGCCACGGGGAGAGGACAGCTCCAGAGAGCAGGGAGGGGCGAAGCGGGGTCTGCCTGGTGCCTTGGAGCCAAATTTGGGGTTCGGTGGCAGAAAAGCTGCTCTGGAGGAAAGAAATCCGGGTCAGATTCTGTCCTGTGGTGAGACAGTGCCCAGAGCACTGAAAGGGGGGGAAGAAAAATCCCTCCCAGCCTCCATGTCTGCAAGGGCAGCTGCTGGCTTTCAGGAAGACCCTGGTGAAGAGGAGATGAGAGTTTTGCTCACAGGTTCCCGGAGGCCGAGGGGCCGTTTCCCACCACGCTCCCTCCGTGCCTCAGTTTCCCCCTTTCCCAAATCCGAATTACAGCCCCGGGGCTGAGCCGGGAGCAGTAACGGCAGCTCCGGGCCTGATGTGAGCGTCAGCGGGTGCTTGGAAATGCTCCAAAAGTACCTTCAACCCTCAAATTGAGGGGAAAATAAAGCCTAAAAAGCCCAGACCCGGAGCTAAAAGGTCGTTTTGAACAAGAGAAGGGTGGAGCTGGCAGCGCTGTACGGTGCTGCCTAGTGCTGTTACCCTCTGCAAACGTGCTCACCTTCCTGGGGGCAGGGCCCAAAAACGCTGCCCCTGGCCAAAAAAAAAAACCAAAAAAACCAAACAAACAAACAAAGAAACAAAAAAACCCAACAATAAATGAGCAAAAAGGAGCTCGGTGCTGGTTTTTATCTCTCTTTAATTCTAAATGCTCGTGTAAATCAGTGGGAGGGGGAGGCAGCCGGGCTCAGAAGAAAGACAACTTGGGGTGTTTGGTTTTTTTTTTTGGGGGGGGGGGGTGGATGAGGGGTGCGGGGGTCTCCCAGGGATGTGGAGCCTGTGGGTCGGGGGTGGGGTGGGGGCTGCAGGTACCAGTGAGAGCGGCGGGTGCTGGGGGGGGGGGGGGGGGGAGATGTGGGTGCTGGGGGAAAGGGACGCGGGGGGAGGCGCGGAGCTCGGCCCCGCCGGCGGCCGCGGGTCCCCCCCCCCCGCCCCGGTTCCGCCCCGGGGGCGGTGGCTCAGTGTGTGTGTCTGTCTGTCTGTCTGTCCCCCCCCCTCCCGCCTCCCTCCTCGTTCGCTTAAAACCCCGCGGAGGCGGCGCCCGGCAGCGCAGAGCCCCGGCGGCACCGGCATCGGCAGCGGGGTGCGAGAAGTTGGGGGGGTGGGGGGGGGTGGGGGGTGCCAGTCGGGAAGTGGGGGGGTGGCAGGGGGGCAGCGGGCAGGGCCGGCGGGATGCGGGCAGGGCGGGGAGCGGGCAGGGCGGGCAACCCGGGGGGCACCACGCCGGGGGGCGCCGGGGTCCCCCCCCACCCCGCGGCCTCGCCCCTGCGCACCCCGGGGCCCCGCTGAGCGCCGGCGGCCGGAGCCCGCGGCCGGCGGGGACGATGGAGGGTCCCGAGGGGGTTTACTCGGCGCAAGCCACCGCTGCCATCGCCGCTGCCATCACCTTCCTGGTGCTCTTCACCATCGCGGGCAACGTGCTGGTGATCATGGCCGTGCTGAGCAGCCGCTCGCTGCGGGCCCCCCAAAACCTCTTCTTGGTGTCGCTGGCGGCCGCGGACATCTTGGTGGCCACGCTCATCATCCCCTTCTCCTTGGCCAACGAGCTCCTGGGCTACTGGTACTTCGAGAAGACGTGGTGCGAGATCTACCTGGCTTTGGACGTGCTCTTCTGCACCTCGTCCATCGTCCACCTCTGTGCCATCAGCCTGGACCGTTACTGGTCGGTCAGCCGTGCCATCGAGTACAACGCCAAGCGGACACCGCGACGCATCAAGTGCAGCATCCTCATCGTCTGGACCATCGCGGCCGTCATCTCCCTCCCGCCCCTGGTCTACAAGGGGGAGAAGAAGGCAGCGGCGGGGGAGCGGCCGCAGTGCAAGCTCAACGAGGAGGCCTGGTACGTCCTCTCCTCCAGCGTCGGCTCCTTCTTCGCCCCGTGCCTCATCATGATCCTCGTCTACCTGCGCATCTACCTGATCGCCAAACGCCGCCACCGCTCCCACCCCGCCGGCGCCAAACCGCCGCAACCGGCACCACCCAACGTCACCCCCCCGGCCGGCGCGGGACCCCCCGGGGCCGCCTGCCCGCCGGCGGACAGGACCTCGCTGCTGAGCCCCGAGGAGCCCCCAGCGCCCCCCAGCCGTGGGGCAGGGACCTCCCCACAGCCCGAGGGGCGCCCCAGGGACACCTTGGCCACCGGGACGGGGCAAGTGGTGCTGGCACGTCGGCCGCCGGCGTTGAACCCTTGGAGGAGGAAGACGCAGATCAACCGGGAGAAGCGTTTCACCTTCGTCTTGGCCGTGGTCATTGGCGTCTTCGTCCTCTGCTGGTTCCCCTTCTTCTTCCTCTACAGCCTGGGCGCTCTCTGCCCCCGGCGCTGCAAGGTCCCTGACGGCGTCTTCCAGTTTTTTTTCTGGATCGGTTACTGCAACAGCTCCCTCAACCCCGTCATCTACACTGTCTTCAACCAGGACTTCCGCAAGGCTTTCCGACGCCTCCTCTGCCGCCGCCGAGCCCCGACACCCTGGTGAGGGGCTCTGGTGAGGGGCTCTGGTGAGGGGCTCTGGTGAGGGGCTCTGGCTCCCCCCTTCCTTCCCCCTCCTCCTCCTGGCTGCACTCGCCGCCTGGAGCATCCCTCAGGTTTGGGGGGGTGGTGGGGGGGGTGGTGGTGGTGGGGGGTTGAAGCCCCCCCGAAGTGACGAGGGGTTTCCCCCCACTGCTGGCGCCTGCCTGCTTGCTGCCTTCTCTCACTGACAGATTTTCCTGGGGGCCGGGGACGGACACACACCCCCCCCCCCCACACACACACACCCCCCGCCCCCCCGAGGTGGCATCGCTGCCTTTTAACAATAAAAGATATTTTGTAATAAGAAAAAAAAAAAAAAAAAATGTCACTTTTTGTCAAGGGGTGGAGGGGGGGTGGCCTGGGGTGTCACGTCCTCCCCCGCCAATCCCTGGGGACCGTTGGGGACAAGAGCTGTGGCCCGTGACAGCCGGCAGTGCGGCCAGGAGGAATGTGTGCCGGCAGAGCGGGAACACGATGTCTGGGAGGGGGGTGGTTATTTATGGCAGCTCCCGGGAAGGAATAAATAATAATAATTAAAAAAAAAAAAAAAAAAAAAAAGCCCAAACCCCCAAAGAATAAATCTCTGCAGCTGCCAGCCCCAAGGCCGTTCAACCCAACAGGGGATGGGGACAGAGCCCAGTGTCAGGGGACCCCGGTGGGGCAGGGATTCACGGGTGGGTGATATAGGGGATTTTCGGGTGTCTCATATGGGGTTGTGCTGCCCACCCGGGGTGAGGGTGACACGTGTTGGGGCCACAGGGGGCTTTTGTGGGTTGTGACCCGCACTGGGGTGTTGTGACCCACACCGCCATGTCCTGGGTGTACCCGTGGGTCGTGGTGGGGCACTGTGACCCCCGCTGGTGTATCACCGCTCGTGCTGGTGCATCGCGACCTGCAGCAGGGTATCGCGACACACACACCCCCCACCCCATCCCCCACCCCCCGCTGCTGTGTTGTGACTCATGACAGCATGTTGTGACCCACACCAGTGTGTCACGACTCACACTGCTGTTCCGCGGACTCACGATGGCACACGGTGACCCACGCCGGTGTGCGGTCGCCCTCGCTGGGGGGTATCGTGCCCCACACTGGTCTGTCGTCACCCACACCGGGGTAATTAAGCCCTACACTGGTCTGTTGTGACCCATACCGGTGCATCGCGACTCATGACCCACACCAGTGCATGGTGCCCCACGCCTCGCGCCGGGGTACTGTCACGCCGGTGCCCCCCATTGCTGGGGGATGTGACCAGGGGCAGCTCACCTCCGCAGTGGCAGAGCCGGCCCCAGCTCCCCGCCCCGCTGCGGGACTTCACCTCCACCCACCCCAAATCCAGCTGAACTTTTGGGAAGCCCTTTCCCAGCCCGGCTGCTCTCCCCCTCCCCCTCGAGCCCGGCGTGGCCGGCGGCCGTTGGCCCGTCCCGGCGCGCTGGGAGGATGCTCAGGGTGGGAGAGGTCGTGCGAACGGGGCCGGGGCCGCGGGGCTGCGCACGCTGAGCCGCTGGACCCCCGCCAGCCCAGCCCCGGGGCGGCTGCACCCGATCCTGGCCTCCGGCGCCACAGCCGGCTCCGGTCCCCTCTGCCCCACGGCTGAGCCCCTACCCGCCGCTTCACACCACCCGTTGTGGCAGGAGAGGTGTGGGGTCTGCACGTGGTCTTGCTGGGGGGTGGGGGTCCTGTGGGGATGGGGGGGGGGTCTCAGCATGGTTCTATGGGGCTGGGCATGGGGTTGGGGGTGTCTCAGCATGGTCTCGTAGGGCTGGGCATGGTCCTGTGGGGCTGGGCATGGGGCTGGGGGTCTCAGCATGGTCTCATAGGGCTGGGCATGGTCCTATGGGGCTGGGCATGTTCCTATGGGGCTGGGTATGGTCCTACAGGGCTGGATACAGGACTGGGAGTCCCATCAATGTCTCATAGGGCTGATCATTGTCTTGTGGGGCTGGACATGGTCCTATGGGGCTGAGCATGATCCTATGGGGCTGGGCATGGTCCTGTGGGGCTGGCGGTCTTAGCATGGTCTCATAGGGCTGGGCATAGTCCTATGGGGCTGGGCATGTTCCTATGGGGCTGGGTATGGTCCTACGGGGCTGGATACGGGACTGGGAGTCCCATCAATGTCTCATAGGGCTGATCATTGTCTTGTGGGGCTGGACATGGTCCTATGGGGCTGAGCATGATCCTATGGGGCTGGGCATGGTCCTGTGGGGCTGGGGGTCTTAGCATGGTCTCATAGGGCTGGGCATAGTCCTATGGGGCTGGGCATGTTCCTATGGGGCTGGGTATGGTCCTACAGGGCTGGACATGGGACTGGGAGTCCCATCAATGTCTCATAGGGCTGATCATTGTCTTGTGGGGCTGGACATGATCCTGTGGGGCTGGGCATGATCCTATGGGGCTGGGCATGGTCCTGTGGGGCTGGACATGGAGCTGGGGGTCTCAGCATGGTCTCATAGGGTTGACCATCATCTTGTGGGGCTGGGCATGGTCCTGTGGGGCTGGGCATGGGGCTGGGGGTCTCAGCATGGTCTCATAGGGTTGATCATCATCTTGTGGGGCTGGGCATGGTCCTGTGGGGCTGGGGGTCTCAGCATGGTCTCATAGGGTTGATCATCATCTTGTGGGGCTGGGCATGATCCTATGGGGCTGGGCATTGTCTTGTGGGGATGGACATGGGGCTGGGAGTGTCAGCATGGTTTCATAGGGCTGGGCATGGTCTTATGGGGCTAAGCATATTCCCATGGGGCTGGGCATGTTCCTATGGGGCTGGGTATGGTCCTACGGGGCTGGACATGGGGCTGGGGGTCTCAGAATTGTCCCGTGGGCCTGGGCATGGTCCTATGGGGCTGAGCATGGGGCTAGGGGTCTCAGCATGGTCTCACAGGGCTGATCATCGTCTTGTGGGGCTGCACATGATTCTATGGGGCTGGGCATGGGGCTGGGGGTTTCAGCATTGTCCTGTGGGGCTGGATATGGCCCCATGGGACCAGCCTGTGCCAAGCAGGATCTGATCCCCCCACCTCCCACCCTGCCCCCCTAGAGCTGCCGACTCTGCCCCCCCAACTTTCTCCCCCTGCCACTCCCCACTAACTCCCCCAAAACAGCCCGTGGGTTGCCATGGCGATTCCTTAATTTCCCCCCCCTCCCCCCCCCCCCCCCCCATTCAGCAGAACCAGGTTTGCTGCGAAAAGAGAGATGCGGAAATTCAAGCAAAGTGAGCTTTTTGCTGAAAAAATAGATTAAAACGGTTTAAAATGGGCTTGTGGGGGGTTTGTTCCCCCTCCTGCAGCGCTCGGGTCAGCGGATGATCCCCGCGGTGAAGCCGCTGTGCTGCTGACCTGCTGGCCCCGGTGTTATCGTTGACAGAATAATTGACATCCTGTCGTTACCACTGGGGAAGCAGCAGGAGGGGAAGTTTAATTAAGCAGAAATATTAATTGCTGACATCCTCCCCCGGGCACTGCTCTGGATTTGAGCAGGGGAGAGATGCTCAGCACCCAAACTGGGACGAGCGTGAAGGCACTGCCTTAAACTGGTGTGGGAAACCCTCGCAGGGAGCTTGGATGACACTGCGAGGTGCAACGAGTTCCTGCCAGGGCTCAGCCTGCTTCTGCCAGGGCTATTCCAGAGCTTGCCTCCAGTACAGGGCTTTTAATTAATGCTGGTTAATTATATGATGAAATATCATAATAATATGGTGGATGTGCCAAACCCCTTGGTGCTGGCGCCTGGGATGATCCTTCTTGTAATCTTTTATTTTATTTTTAGGGTTTTGATGAAATTTGGCCACTTTCACTGGCAGAGGAAGGTCAGTCATGAAGCCAGTGGGGGGAAAATGCGCGTTCCTGTTCAAATATTCAAAAATAAGGAGATGGGAATGGCTGCGAAAGCTTTTTATTTGTATTTGAGTTTAATGGCAGAGCAATAAAAGCCGGGGAAGGGAAGATATGGTAACCATAGCCACCGTGGCACGGCGGGGGGAGCCATGGCTGCTGATTTATGCTTAAAGTATTTAAAAATTTAAAAATCAAAAATGGATTGGGGTGCCTGAAATCTTCCCCTTTCAGTGTTATTTTAGGGGTCTGTGGGTGATGTGGCATGAAGATGCTTTGCTGTTATTGGGGTCCCCTGGAAAGCAAGAAACATCCAGAAAAAGCAAGAAAGAACCAGGAAAAAAAGTGAGAAAAAGCCAGAAAAAGTTCGAATGGGCCAATTTTTGGAGAAGATAGGCTCAGGGCAGGCAGGAACTGGCTAAAAAGCTTTCCCCTATTTCTTGCCCCCTAAAAAGCCCCCAAAAGTCCCTGGGTATCCCAGCAACCCCCACCCTGCGCTCCTCCTCTTCTCTTCCAAGTAAATAAGTTTTTTCTTTTTTTCTTATGTTTTTCCTTTTTTTGTGTGCTTTTTTTTTTTTTTCCTTTTTCCTTGTCTGTTTTTTTCCCCCTTTTTTTCTGCTCTTGTCTTTTTTTTTTTTTTTTTTTTTTTTTTATCCCCCTTATTATTTCCCTGCCAGAGGACGATTAAGGCATAAAAGCTCTCAGCTGCACTTAAAGGCAGATTTGCAGCTCCAGCCCCCGGGGGGGCAGGGTGGGGGTGGTGAGAGCATCAGCCCTGGCAGTCAGGTGAAAAATATTGCTTTTCGGGGGGCATTTTTAGGCAGATTCAGCCCATTTGGGGCCTCCCCGCTGTTTCCTGGAGGTTTTGGAGGTCTGAGGGGGTGGCCCCGGGGGTGGCGGGGATGGGGGCTGATGGCCCCGGGGGTGGCGGGGGGGCTTGGGCTGGGGTTGATGTCCCCAGAAGAGATGGGGACCTGGCAAGGGGCTGGGGTTCATGTCCTCGGGGGTGACGAGGTTGGGGAGGGGTCTGGGACAGATATCCATGGGGGTGTCGGCGGCCTGGGATGGGGCTGGGACCCCTGGGATGGGGTTTGGGGCTGGGACCCCTGGGGTGGGGTTTGGGGCTGGGACCCCCGGGAAGGGGCTGGGACCCCTGGGGTGGGGTTTGGGGCTGGGACCCCCGGGAAGGGGCTGGGACCCCTGGGGTGGGGTTTGGGGCTGGGACCCCCGGGAAGGGGCTGGGACCCCCGGGATGGGGTTTGGGGCTGGGACCCCCGGGAAGGGGCTGGGACCCCTGGGGTGGGGTGTGGGGCTGGGACCCCTGGGGTGGGGTTTGGGGCTGGGACCCCCGGGATGGGGCTGGGACCCCTGGGACGGGGTTTGGGGCTGGGACCCCTGGGGTGGGGTGTGGGGCTGGGACCCCTGGGAAGGAGCTGGGACCCCTGGGGTGGGGTTTGGGGCTGGGACCCCCTGATGTCCCCAGGGGCGGGCGG